TGTCTTGAAAACCGAAAAAGTACAACTAAACAGATGAAGCATAAATGGGAGGACGCTGGAGCCAATGTATGTGACCGAACCGTAAGAAATGGCCTAAAGGAAATGGGATTTCAATACAGGAAAGCTAAAACAAAACAATCATTGACACCTAAACAAAAAAGAACAAGACTGCAATGGGCTAAGGAGAGGCCATCATGGACTGTGGATGACTGGATGGAAGTTATCTTCAGTGATGAGTCAAGAATCTGCATTGGACAAGGTGATGATGCTGGAGCTTTTGTTTGGTGCCGTTCCAATGAGATTTATGAAGAGGACTGTCTGAAGAAAACCACCACATTTCCACAGTCCTTGATGATATGGAACTACATGTCAGGCAAAGGCACTGGGGAGATGACTGTGGTTCATTCTTCTATCAATGTACACGTTGACATTGACATTTTGGACAGTTTTCTCATCCCTTCAATTGAACAGATATTTGGAGGTGATGAAATAATTTTACAAGATGAAAATGCATCGTGCCATAGGACAAAAACAGTGAAGGCATTCCTTAGAGAAAGACACATTCAGTCGATGTCATGGTCTGCAAATAGTCCAGATCTTAACCCAATTGAAAACCTTTGGTGGAAATTGAAAAAAATGGTCCACAAGAAGGCTCTGACCTGCAAAGCTGATCTGGCAACTGCTATCAAAGAGAGTTGGCATCAAATTGATGAAGAATACAGTTTGTCACTCATCAAGTCCATGCCTCAGACACTGCAGCTGTTATAAAAGCCAAAGGTGGTGCAACTAAATACTAGTGATGTATTTTGAATGTTCTTTTGTTTATCTGTTTTTCATGATTCCATACTTTTTTCCTCAGAATTGAGTGATTCCATATTTTTTCTCAGAATTGAGTGATTCCATATTTTTTCCTCAGAATTGAGTGATTCCATATTTTTTCCCTGTGCTTGGTCAATAAAAGTAACATTCACTGACTTCCACGTTTTCTCTTCATTTCTTTGAGTGTTCCTGAAAGCCAACAAGTTGCACTTTGGAATGACCTTATTATTGTATCATGTTTTTGATCTGAGTTTGTTTTATAGAATGACATGTCTGAATGAGTGCTCATCCAAGACTGGTGATTCCATACTTGTTGCCAGGGGTTGTACAACTCTCCGACTAAAAGGCAGGGGTGGGAGATACTGCGAGTGTTTGTATTATTGGTCGATGCAATACGAAATAAATACAGGGCTCGTATTGCTGACACCAATGCTTTTACTTAAATGTAATTTTCATTGAATAATTTTGTGATTCTGTCTTATTTGAACATGATAAAACACAGGACAAAGATTTTAGGCAATTAAAAATAACTACAGCAATACAGAACAATGGAATAGTATAAAAATTATAAAATAATTCCCGTTTTACCTCCCCTTACAGTGATTTTCAAAGTGGGGGCAATCTAATAAATGTTTCAAATCATTATCATATACTCAAATCTATTTTTCAATCATTATTTTACAGTGTAATTTATAATATAAAGAGGTGAATCAAGAGAGCTAAAAAGGTTTGATTTCTTTGATTCTGTTCTTATTGTGTGAACAAAAGTATCGATCTCACTACGATGATATTGATCCAATACTAATACTCATCTTGGATCGATCCCCCACCAAAAACCCAAACATTCTGAATCCACTCTATACTGAGGTCCAGACAGAACGATATGACAGTGAGAGTTCTGCAGCTCAGCCTTGAGTAGTGAGTTGAAGAACTCCGACAAGAGAGGCAAAACTAAGACAAGCTGAGATGAATGCAGGATGATGGGTTCATCTTGGATTAAGCCCGGAGAAGCCGTCGCCCTCTCCGTGTGTCCGGCAGCAGAGCCGAGCCGTCTTCAGCCGATCCAGTGTGGCCCGGCGGAGATGGGATCAGTTTATGGGAACTGTGGGATCAGAACGGGAGCACGCTTTTCACTTTCCAAGATAGTATCTGCCTTGTTAAGTAGCTTTTCTTGTTCCTCGGTAGTAGAATAACTGATCAGGCTCGGGCCTAATGCATTCTGAAAACAGAGCACTGCAAATTTGCCTGGTTTAAATCAGCTGTGTTTGCTCACGCGCCTCTTTATCCACTGAGTGCAGCAAATGAGATTTAAGAAGTGTGAGGCTGCTGTGTGGAGAAAAGGCGCTGCTACTGTTTGTGTTCTTCTGTGTGCGTTTGTGTGCGTTTGTGTGTGTGTGTTTGGGCTGAGCTGAATATAACTGCAGCTTTTGGAAATCTCCTGACTGAAGCTGTCAATCTCCTGCACTCTGCTCCAGTTTTCCACTCAACACTTATTGAATTCAGACCATCGTTAGAAGCAGAGGCACGTTTTTCCACTGAAAGGTTTTAGAATTTAAAACCCAGATTTCACTGAGGGCAAAGCGTTGTTCAACCAGTTAAAACATAAAATAAAATAAAAACTTGCATTCCTTAAAGGAAGTCGCCTTGAATGCCAAAGTTTTCTGCTTTCCAACCATCATGTTTTTGAAAATGTGGCACATCAAAGCTATTTACAGTATTCAATATTCCATCTAGAAATAGCCAATAACTGCAGCGTTGATGTGCTGCTGTAAGGAGTATCTACCCATCTTTATTGGGCTAAAAATGTCTGCCTGAGGAGGTCAGAAATTCTGTGTCCTTCCTGGCAGCAGCAGCTTGGCAGCTTTGCCAGGAGAGATGTGTCACATTGGAAATGTCAGGGGATAATGTGCTATCAACGGGACCTATATGTGAAAGGTCAGCAGCTCTCCTCCTCAGCTGAGGAGGCTGGACCGTCCAAAGCAGGAGGCCTGTGTCGAACAGATTAGAGGCGATACGATGAGGCAAAAATGTCACTGTAGTCCTGCACTTCTCCCGCAGCCTGTCAACACCTTAAATGGCTTCTTAATATACACCTAACACCCTGCAGCTGGACTGAGGYGCAGAGGAAGACCTGTTGCACATTCACGCCCACCAAGTGGGAAGGTGGTATGTGGTGTGCAGTACTGCAGATCACAGTGAAAATACAGTGCAGGTTGAAACTTTATTGATTCGACTGCAACTTTTGACTTCTAACTTCCTTTGTCAAGCATTCTTACTATTAAGACATTCCATTTTTCTTCTTTTGTGCAATTTAAACAATTTATATATCAAAACATTCAGCTCATTAATGCCGTGGTTGCAATGACTTTTGGTTTTTCAGCAATTTATACAGTTGGCCACTTTTTCTCATTGAGAATAAATGTTTTCAACATCCTTAAAACCTTTCAAAATGCTTATACTGTATATCTTTACTGCAGTTTTTACCTTTTGCTCTGGTTCTGCTTCTGTGTGTTAATTTCAGTCGTCTTTGACTCATTTTTTCTAATTTTAGCTTTTTCTGCTGTTTTAGCTGTCTTCCTGCTCCTTTCTGTTATTCTTCTGTTAATTTCAATATTGTGTGCTTTCTATGCTAATTTAAGCCATTTTTTTYKMGA